TTTTTTTTTGACTGTTTTAAAAGCTTTAAATATATATGCTTCTTTTATCCTTTCACAAAACTGTTCTGTTCAGTTGAACAGAACAGTTTTACTGCAATCTGCTGCTGTCGACAATATTATTACTTGGAACCATTTTTACAGACTGTGTTGGCAGTATCGATGGCGTCACTCGGGCTGGTTACAGTGACAACATCGATATCCTTCGGAAACAGTATTCCGGTTGCACCATCGTTTTTGGCAATGTTGTTATTGCACATTTACAACAGAAAGCTATCGGTAACCAAACTATGGAGGAGATGGAAAAAAAATTAGACTTTTTAAATCATATTGAACAAGTAATAAGGCAGATTTATAAATCAAAATTTTTTTCACGCAAAATTTTGTCATTAAAGAAAACTCTTTTCTCGTTTTTATTGCTTATCGTCTCTTCCTTTTTTCTTTAGAGATGAAAAAAATAATGCAAAGATTCGCCTTGTGTTTAAAAAATAAAGAAAAAAAGAAATTTTTTCTTTTAGATCACTGGTAGTTTGATTATATTTGCGACACATTTAAAATCTATTAGTTTTAAACGATTAAAAATTATTTGGGGTGATGAGTTACACGACGGAATGGCAATGCTGATTGAAGGCAACGAGGAGTTACGGCATTTAAAATTACCATCACTTCGAAGTCGGTTTTTGGTTTTTTTTCACACAGTTTTTCAATTTTCACCTCTTCTTTTTTTTTTTTTCTAGACAGAAAATGGCAAAATCAAAGTAACAGCTTTTTTTTCTGGTTTATTGCTTTAAATAAATTTTCGTTTTACATTCAAACATGCTTGTTGTGTTGTTGAGCCAAGTTTTAGTCTACTATGATCTTTAGTCCTGTGCTGTTAATTAATATCGGTAAAAGTATTTAAACAAAAAACTTTAGAATCTGTTAATGAAGCTTTTTACTGTTTTATAAAACATTAGGAAAAGGGAAAAGGAGCGGATGAACGTTAAAACACTTTTTTCAACATGATTAGTGTTTGTAGAAAAAAAAGCTACATTTTTCGTAAATTCACTTAGTTATAAAGGCAAAATTGGAGGAGATCGTTACAAGCATTTTGTGAGATATAGCTGTTGACAGGTAAGTTCTTATTGAATCTGTATTTTTTTGACCCTATTTTGTTAATTTCTCTTTTTCAGGTGTTGAACGAGGTAACATAACACTTAATTCAAATCCATATTTATGTTATTTGGAAAAAAAAGTTTCTTTTCATGAGGTAAATGAGTAAAATTTAACTCAAAAAAATTTTCTTTTTGATACTGTTTTTCCAATCATATAATAAAAAATTTTTGAAACAGTTTAGTGGATTTGTAAAAAAGTTAGCAATATTAATATGTTCCTAGCAATTAATTCAGTTTTAGATAAATAAGCCTTACGCACAAAAGTGGTAGGA